ACATTCCAGGGGGGAAGAACTTCATGGCGGATGCTTTATCTAGATTACCTCAATATAATAGTGCTCGCCAAGAAGTGGTAAGGCCGATTGTCCCAACCAAACAGTTGGCAGCTCCAGTGGTTACCAGAGCCCAGAAAAAGAAGGAGGTTGATTTATCAAATGATTTGATTGCACAATTAAGAGATGCTCTAAAACTTAATGATTGGTTTCTTGCTCACTCAAATAACTGTACAGTTAGAGATGGATTGGCATGGGTGGGGGCCAAATTATATGTGCCAGTGAAGCTGAGAAACCAAATATTACAGCAAGCTCATGACTAAAGCCGCTGGTCATTTTGGATTCATGAAAATCTTACACTTGGTTAGAAGGCAATTTTGGTGGCCTACTTTGAAAAAAGGACATTGAGACTTATGTAGCTAGTTGTCCTATCTGTGCCTCAGGCAAATGGCCTCCTGGTAAACCAGCAGGCTTACTACAAAATGTGGCTACACCAACGGCTCCATGAAAGGAAATCTCTATGGATTTTATAGTGGAATTACCTGAAAGTGGGGGGAATACAATTATTTGAGTAGTAACTGATTTGTTTTCCAAAACAGGTACATTTCATACCTTGTCCAAAAATCCCATCTGCAAAAACGTTGGCTAAACTGCTTATTTTACATATCTACAGGTTACATGGGGTTCCTGAATGCATAATCTCAGACAGGGGTGTCCAGTTTACCTCAAACTTTTGGAAGGAGTTCCTGAAGTTATTGGGCTCTACCCAGGGCTTAAGCTCCGCCCACCACCCACAAACCAATGGGGCTTGTGAGAGAACTAACTCGGTATTGGAGCAATATCTTCGATGTTATATAAATTATCAGCAAGATAATTGGGCTGACCTATTGCCATTTGCTGAGATGGCATATAATAATTCGGTACGTAGTAGTACTGAGTTTACTCCATTTAAAGTGGCTTCGGGACAAGACTTTGTACCCATACCCGATCTTCCACGGGAGAAACCTAACATCCAGTCATTAGATGAATGGATAACACAGCTCCAGCTTACCTGGCTGGTTACCCATAAAGCATTAGGTGATGCTCATCAAGCTCATAAAAAAATTGCAGATAAAAAGAGAACTCCACAAAAATGTATCAAGTGAGTGACAAGCTCTTTTTATCCACCAGATATTTGCAGACCACACAAAAGTCAAAAAAGCTTGGACCTAAGTATGTTGGACCTTTCTCAATTGAACGAACTCTGTGAACTCTGTGGCAGTCCAACTGAAATTACCAAAAACTTTTTGACGGATCCACCCTGTTTTCAACGTTAGTTTATTAAAACCTGAACATACCTCCGACTTGAGACCAACTCAGGTTGATCCCCCTGTACCATTGCTAATTGAAGGTGAACAACATTTTGAAGTTAAAGAAATTTTGGATTCTCGAAAACGAAGGGGTCAACTCCAGTATTTGGTTGCTTGGAAACATTTTCCTCCTTCCCAGGCTGAGTGGGTGAATGAGAAGGATGTTAGAGCTCCTACACTTATCAAGGCATTTCGTACTAAATATCCTGATAAACCCTAAAAAATTAGTATGTTGCTGTTACATGTACATTTTCTATTACCTTCTATTTTTATCTTTTTTAGGACTAATGTCTCTTTTCTAGGAGGGCTGAATGTCAGCCTTCAAGATTACCTCCCTTTGCTTTGGATCTTTCAGCTGTCATAAGTAACGGGGGGGGGAGGAGGGGGGAATGGTTATGGGAAGTGAGATGGAGGGGTTACAAACCAGAACTGTATAAACGGGGGGGGGGGGGGTACATTCTTGCTTAGGTTTATATCCTATGCTATGTGCAGCTGCAACTCTTTATCAAACTATGTCAAGATCAACGGACAAAAGCCTCATCACCACCTGGGGATGCCCACATGATGATATACACAATTTTTCATTGGATGAGCCAATTGAACAAATGGGGCGGGAACGTTGCCATTACTTTGTATATGTGATTTACGCGCCCATTTTCTCAGATTCAGAATTCTTTTGTTGCTACCACTTGATTTCCAGTAAAAGATATCTTTTCTCTGATTAAAGGAGTCTAAATATTTCTTTCTTGGATTTTGAATGGAGCACCAGCTGACACCATGGTCCAGGAATCCAAAGTTTTTTGGGTGACACCAACCCTTTAGCTAGTAGTTCACTTCTAGAATTCTTTGTTCTCTTACCGGATGTTGTCCTTTCGTTGGCATTACAGATGAAAAAAGGAGCATTGGTAGACTTACCTGAGAACGCGCCTTCTCAGATGGTGTAGACAGGATCCATGCATGGGATGTATTCAGCTCTGTTCGGCTATAGACTGAATAGAAAAACTGAAGACACGCCCCTTCCGTTTTTTTTTAAATTTCAAGACAATTAAATAGCCCAATAACCAGAATCTTTCAAGTTTAACTGTCTATGAGAGGTATAGATTGGGTCGTGTGGCACTAGAGCTGGCTAGAAAATGGCTGCTTCTACAAAATGGCACTCCTGCCAATTTAAACTGTCACAGAGTTGATTTTACCTTTGCTGGAACCTCGTTGTGGCTAACACAGCATCTCTGCTTAGACAGTGCTCCCTTATTTGGGCAGGCTTTCTGACAGGCTTTACGATGAGGAAGCCTTCCAATTTCGATCTGAGCGATCTCTCCCTCAGCTGTTTGGCACGAAGCCGGTCGGCTAATCCTGATCGAAGGTGCCGTCCATGCTCTGGCTGTTTAGGTCTCCCTTAAACGGGCAGGCTGCCCAGCCGGCAAAAGCCTTTACGATGTAGCCTTCCTTTTAAAGCCAATAGGCAAAGAAAACGAGGCTTGTGGTTGTTGCTATAAATCCCTTAAGGACTGTTATGTGGGTAATCCAAAATAAAAAATCTAAATAAAATACTGCCAACATCCCTCTATCTATAAAGTATAGAGGAGCAATATTGCAGACATCTATCTCAGCTGAGACTGAGTAGAAGAACTAGAGACAGTGGCCCAGAAGGGGTGTGTCTTCAGTTTTTGTATTCAGTCTATAGTCAAACAGAGCTGAATACATCACGTGCATGGATTCTGTCAAAACCATTCTGTAGAACTACTTGTGCACCTAAGTCCTTGACTTTCTTGCCTAGCTGCTCACAATCAATATTGTTTTCAAGTCCTTTTTTCAAGTGTCATTTGTCCCTACGTGTAGTAATAGACATGTAGTATGTGGATTTTATTATTTTGGTTAGGTTCTCAGCCACATCTTTGATTTTAGCTCCAGGGAGACAACATACCTCTCTGAATAGACTGTCTGGTCTACAGATGGCAGGTTCTGTTCCCTTGAGAATTGAATCTCCTATCACCAGCACTTGCCTTTTTTTTTTCCTAGGGAGGTTTGGGGTGTTTTTCTATCTGTCACAGAAGCATTTGATGGTATTACTTTTTTAGGGACATTTGATGGTGCTTCTTTTCTATGTGTCTGCATGTTTTCTTCTCGTAAGAGTCCATGAAATTGATTGCTTAGCACCAGTGGAGCTGCATCAGAGTGGGTTGGTTTGGACAGGGGTTTTACACTAGGTTTATGTTTTTTCTATGAGTGACATGTTTCCACCTGTCTTCTTCTTCCTCTAAGGGGCCAATTCTTTTAGAAGTTGTTTGATCATTATTATTATTATGTTCAATCTGGGCATATTCTTTCTGCAAAGTTTGGAATTTCTCATTTTGTGGGTTGAGTTTCAGAGTGGTTAGAGTTTCCTCTAGACCCTTTACTTTTTCTTCTAGTAACTTGATTAGTTTACATTTTGTGTGTGTGTGTTTGGGTATTCTATGGGCATTAAGTGTATACATGGAACATGTTCTGCAGATGACAATAGTATCAGTGTTTTCTTCCTTGAGTGGATTTTAAAAAATTGAAAGTGAAAGTGTATAAAGTTTTACCACAAATTTTTAAAAGGGAAAAATGTCCAATTATATATAATGTTCTATGGTTCAAAATTGTCTAGTTTAAAATTTTGAGGTTCTAGCGGATCATTTAGATTGTCCAATTTTAAAATTTTCAGTGTTGAGTGGGCTTAAGTGCAAAGTTTGTTCTTAGGCTGTACTGGAATGTTCTATGATTGTCCCTTTCCTCCCTTCCTTCTTATGATCCTTTTCCACCTGCCTTCTTGTGGGCTTAATTTATCTCTTTCTTTTCTGCCTTTATATATTCCTTATATTCCTCTACTCATATTTGATTTTTGCCTTGTCCTATGTTGTCTTTTTATCCTCCCTTCCTACTTGCTTTTCTCCTGTCACTACCAGGTATTCAGCTCTCACTGCTTTTCTCAGTTCATGGCACCGCCCCCACCCCCCTTGCCTGTTGGTCTGCCATGTTGCTCTGTTGCCTTCTCAGTCACCAGTTCGCTGGTCCTCTTTGCTGAAATGCTCCACTAACAGCAGCAGCTTCCGGCTGCATCGATGCTCCCCTGTTGCTTTCCATGCTCCTCTCAGGATCTGTTTCGCTATGTTGCTCCTCACTGCTAGCTCACCCGTCTGCCACGCCTACTTGTATCTGGCTTGTGATAAAATACTATCCCAAATTCCATTTCCTCTATTCTATTATCAAACCAGGTATCTTTCTCACAGTATAGTAATATTTTTTCTGAAGTGAAGAACTTTGCATTGTTCTTACATTCATTATTCATTATGTTCATTACATTTCATTGCTATTCACTTCTCTAACCTATCAATTTACAGATTATTTTGAGTTTGGCTTCTGTCTTCTAGGGTAAAACATATCCTGTCCAGTTTTGAGTCATTTGCTAATTTCATAAAATTCCTTCTACCTTTTTGTCCTAGTTGTTAACAAGAATGTGAAAGCGATTCAGACTCAGAAATAAATCCAACTGAGCAAGCTCTGGCCCATCTTAATCTGGACGGAATTATACTTACCTAACGAAATGTGGCTTGCGTAAGCTTGATTGAACTTCCCATGTGGGTCAGAGCCCTCTGGCTCCCAATCAACTACAGACAAAACGACTCTTACCTGAAATGGGGTCCCAGATTGATGGCAGGAGCAAATGGCTTGTCTGTGACAATGGTGGTTCCAATGCCAGTGGCCTGGACTGGAATAATATAAGAATTACTATTCTCTATAGCCATGCTGATTTTGTCCTGAAACAATACAGTATCATCCAAATTAACAGTAAGAGTAAGTGATATTTCTGCCTCTGGAGGAACAACCCCTTCACTGGGGTCAATTCTCCACTGCGAAGGAGTATGGGCCTGAAACACAATAAAAAAGACACAATCCATCAACTCATCTGTGCCAGATCTCAACATTTTAAAAGGCAAGTTACATATTAAGGAAATATAAATGTGTTAAATCATAATAAAAAACCCATCCTGCCCATTAAAATGGGTATACTTTTACTACCAAGAACTGACAAACAAAACATGTCAAGGATCCCTGAAGTTAAAACTTATTTTACATTGAGTTGTTATTTCTTAAGATTCTTTTGATATGCCATGCTGTACTAAAGGGAGCACTTCTGAAATGGATGCGAGTTTGGTGGGATCACAAAATATACAAAGTAATAGAAAATGTAGAAGCTAAAGTGCTGCGGAACTTTAGAATTAAAATAGACAGGCACTTGTCACATAACACCCTAGAGTCTACAACTATCAATAAGAAAGACAAAACCTGTCTGAACAGTGGACTTGCCAGTACCCGGAGAAAGCAGAAGAGAAGAGAAGATAACAAAACAAAACATAAAGACCTCAAAACGGCAAAAGAAAGCAAAGATATCATCAATAGTCATAGGCCCCCTGGGTGCAATCCGCAAACAACTTGAACAGCATGTGCATTGACCAATTCAACATTGATCAGTCAATTGCGAAAGGTAGCATGACTCAGAACAGCTGATATCCTACGACGGGATATAAGCATCAACATCTGCTTATCTGAGGTCCTTGGGAAGGACTCACGGGTATATAAAAATGCCATTCCAGTCTGAACATTTGGTTGTCTACAAATCACCACCATCATTATTTATTTATTTTGAGAAACTGGAAATACGTTATTATCAAAATTGTCAAAAATGTGGTCCATCTATTTTCTATTCAAACAAAATCAAAGGATGCAGGAATATGTGTTACTATGACAGAGATTTTCTGATATTTTACAATATTTTGTACCATTCATATTATAATTATTATAATATTAATAAACCAGTAACAACTGATAAAAATTAAGTCAGATTTCTTTCTTTTTCTGCTTTCTTTTCTTAGTCTATACCTTTTTGTTTGTTCTAATTTTTACTTCTCCAAAGGAGCTCAGTATTTATCTCAGCAAAATGGTTTCTATCAAGGCCTACCCCAAAGGGTTCTAAATCAGATTAAGAGACATCACTACCCACTGCTAAAGAGGCTCCGGCATATTGTACAAATCCAGCTTGTTCAGTTAGCTTATGATCCAGCACATTGCACAAACCCAAATTCAGTAGTCAAAACATATGATACAAATGGGGCTATGGAGTTTATATATGCGCTGTATGTATTAGGCATCTACCAATTAGAAACATGTACAACTCTGTATATTGTCAGTTGTAAGAAAAGAACGGACAAGGTAGTTGGTGGGATCTGGAGCTGAGTTGAGTGTAAAGGGTGACTGGCCTTGAACTGCTCATGGGAGGAAGCAGCTGAAAGGGGTTCTGCTCTAAAGCTTCACAGAGTCTACCTAGCAGCTCTATAGTAAGTTTGTCAGTCTGGTGAGATTCCTATCCATAGGTGAGCAGCAATCAACCTGCCACTTCGATCAGCACCTTGTGAGACCTCTGGTTCCTTCTGCCTGACAGGCTACTAAAACAGGCACTCCTTCTAGACTTCTTGGATGCCATTGGCTGACAGCTACAGTCTGATTTTTAGTAATTCATTTAATTTTTGAACTAGAAGACCTCCAGAGTCCCGTCCAACCCTACTGTTCTATGGTCAATATTCTGCTAATTATTAACCTATATCTCTTCTTAGAATATCCACTGCTTCAAGTGCTGTCCATCTGAAAATGACTTCATGGGAGGCTTTCTCCTATAATCATGGCAAAAGCAATTAACAAAAAACACTTTATCAGTTTTACTTCCCAACATAAATCAGCTTCAAAATTTACTTACCATCTGTGCCTTAAATGGTGCAGGAATAACAGACTCGTTTGAAAGACAAAGTGCCCTGGAAACATTCTTTAAAACCTGGATGCAGCCAAAATCTATCTTAGATGGATGCACATAAACAACAGGACCTTCTCCAAAAGTCACCAGTTGGATTTTCTGTGGCAGGGAATAAAAAGAAGCAAGCAGAGAACATTAATACAGCAACAATGATTGTAACTTATTATGACTGGATACTGTAAAATAGTCTTCCACAATCTAAGCGACCTCTTGATGCATGAATAACAGAGAATCCTGGAAGGTGAAGTCCACACAATTACATTTAAATTGAAGAAGGTTAATTTTCATGCATGGTTGGATTTGGTGCTTAGGTATCAATTTAATATTTCATTTATATCACAAGTCAGGAGGCAAGCCTAGTTAAGAGGGGGAAACGTATCTAAAACCTACCTTTTGCTGTGATGGACACAGCATTGGACTGGACTGGTTCCAGGGTGCTGTAGCTGAAGCTCCTCCAACGGAATACCATTGAGTATTCCACTCAACTGTTGAGCTGGAGTATTTTTATTTATTTATTTTTTCATTTATTTATTTTGATTTGTCAATCGCTTACAAGATAATAGGTGTAAGTATATACATAGTTATGAATACATGAAATGGGTACATATAACAAAAATAAAAGAAACAATAGCACAGGGATGGTAGGCATGTTGGTGCGCTTATGCACGCCCCCTACAGAACTCTTAGGAAAGGGGTGAGGTCAATAGTAGACAGTCTAAGGTTAAAGTTTTGGGGGTTTGGGGAAGAAACCAGTCAGGTAGAGTATTCCAGACATTGACCACTCTGTTGCTGAAGTCGTATTTCCTGCAATCAAGTTTGGTGCGGTTAACCTTGAGTTTGTATCTATTGTGTGCTCTTGTGTTGTTATGGTTGAACTGACAGGTAAGTCATTGCAATGTATGATTTTATATACCACACTTAGATCAGACCAAAGACGGTGTAATTCAAGGTTTTCTAGGTCTAGAATTTCAAGTCTGGTGGCATAAGGTATTCTACAACGAGTAGAGGAGTGGAGGACTCTTTTTGTGAAATATTTCTGGACTTTCTCAACTGTGCTAATATCAGATACGTACCGTGGGTTCCAGACTGATGAGCTGTATTCGAGTATTGGTCTAGCAAATGTTTTATATGCTCTAGTTAGTAGTGTGATATTACCAGAGAAAAAGCTACGTAGGATTAGGTTAACAACTCTTAATGCCTTCTTTGGCTATGTAGTTACAGTGGGTAGCACTTAGATCATTAGAGATGATTATTCCAAGGTCCTTTACAGAGCTTGGATCATCAACAAGGTCTTGACTATTCAGCCTGTATTTTATTTTCTGATTTTTTTTTGCCAATATGTAAGACAGAGCATTTATTTGTTGAGATTTGATGTTGCCATTTGTTTGACCATTCTGAAACAAAGTCAAGATCTTTTTTTTTGTAAATTTTATTGGTTTTTAAAGACAAACAAAAACAAACAAAACATAAAAACATCCAACTTTCTTCAATAAGTGTACAAGCAGTGTGTCGGTTGGTTTACAAATTTTTTGTGCATCCATTTCATAGTCTCAATTACAATTACATTGCATAATAACTCTTATTATCAATCAAAAATTGAATACCCTAGTATCATTATTAATCAATCATTTGACTATAATTTTGTTCATTCATACTTTGCGGGATAACTATAATTTACTTATTTTATAACAATTTAAATAATCCTCCCAAATCTATCTAAGTCAGTCAATTTATAATAAAAACCTGTTTTAAAATCCTTATCATACCTTGAGTGTATTTGTGCATATGAAAACCAATTCATCTTTATACCCTGTTCCTCTAGTTTTTGCATAGATTTAAGTTCACCCTTTTCATTTAAAATTTCCCCATATCTAACTGTTTGTTCCTTCTTGTATATTATAGGATAGGAAAATGCTTCAATAGTCAATAACCAGACTGGAATTTTCAAATAGCATTGTCTTTTAATCTTCTCCCAATTTAACCACAAAGACTCCCGTATATGATGTCTTCTAAAATAGCTCTGTTTTGGTTCCCTTATACCATAAAAAAGCATGCCACCCCAACAACAAATCATGTCCTTCTAATGTCAACAATCTAGTATTTCTTAATGTTATCCATTCCTTAGCCCACATCAAGTTTGTAGCTTGCTAGTACAACTCCCAATTAGGCAAACCAAATCCTCCTCTAATTCTAGCATCTTGCAAAAGTTTTAACTTTATTCTCGCTTTCTTACCTTGCCATGTATATTTCAACACAATTTTATTTAAATCTTCAAAGTAGTCTTTTCCAAGCCTAATTGGAATTGTTTGAAACAAATATAAGATTCTGGGTAAGATATTCATCTTGATTGTTGAAATTCTCCCTATTAGTGACAGTTGTAGATTTTCCCATTTCGTCAAGTCTAACGCTATCTGCTGTTTAAGTTTGATATAATTGTTCTCTTTTAATGTACTACATCTTGCTGTCTTCTTGAAAATAGTTATATATAATATCTTTTTTCTTCTCAATCTCATGTTGTGGTATGCCTTTCTCGTCTATTAGTTGGCGTATCAGTCTCTTTTCTTTTTCTTTTTTAAGTTTATAAAATAGCCATCTTCCTGGTTTATTGGCGTGTTCAAAATAATTTTGTTTGGACCTTCTCAAGCTAACTTCTATTTTATCTTGTTCAATTAAATTCAGCTTATGTTTAGCTAATATTAACTGGTTTTGTATTCCTTGGATCTTAGGGGTTTTTTGTAATTGTATTTCTAAGTCTTTGATTTGTTGTTGTAATACGTTTTGTCGGGCATAAGTTCTCTTGTTTCTCATAGCATTATAGGAAATTGTTGTACCTCTTATAATTGCTTTCATAGTATCCCAAATATTCTGTTTTGAAGTTGTTTCATTATTATTATCTTTTAAGAAATAGTTTAGCTCCTCTTTCAGCTTATTAATATACTCTTCTTCATTTACTATTTGGGTGTTTAGTGTCCATCTTTTTTTTATTCCTCTCCTATCTCTCCAAATTAGCTGTATTGGGTTGTGGTCGGCCCATTCATTTGGTAGGATTTTAATTTCTTTTATTTCATTAGCCAAATCCAAATCCATCCAAGCCATATCTATTCTAGTCCAAGTCTTATGTGGATTAGAATAGTATGTAAATTGTTTCTCTTCAAGATTCCGTTCCCTCCATAAATCTTTTAAATTTAACTCTTTCATCATTTCCTTACATGCCGCAGAAAGTTCCCTTTTCCCCTTCTTGTTTTTTCCCATATTACTATGGTCTTTTTGGTAGTCTGCAATGGAGTTAAAATCGCCTATCAAGCAAATGTTCCTTTTTTCAAAGCCTACTATTTTTTGGTGGAGGTGTTTAAAAAATTTCCCTTGGTCTTCATTTGGGGCATAGATTGCTACAAGTAAAAATGTGATGTGGTTTATCCAAACTTGTATAACCAGAGTTCTTCCTTCGGGATCCGACCAGGTTAATTCTGCCTTTACATCTTGTTTTACGTAAATTGCAATTCCTTTTTTCTTGTGTTTATCTGCCGGTGCCATAAAAAGTTTTCCTAATTTTGGACAAATTAGATGTCTTTCATCATTTTTCAAAATATGTGTTTCTTGAAGACATATTATATCTGCATTATGTCGAATAAGTTTTGAAAATATCCTTTTTCTTTTTGATATTGAATTTAATCCATTTATATTGATGGAGAGCAACTTCTTCCCCTCCACCATTTATCTACGTCTGCTTAGATTTTTGCCTAGTAATGATTCGATTCTCTTGTTGTTGTTGTGGGATTTGCTCTTCTCTCCCAGGTTGTGGTTTATCACTTCCTGAAATTGGAGAAAGTCGTTCCTTTTGGGTTCTGTGATGATATCGGTCCTCCTGTGGTCTCCTTTTAAGTTCTTCTTTAGTGGATTGACCATTCGTATCTGTGAGCTGTTGATAAAAATCTTGGGCCTGTTCTATCAATTCTATTTTGATTTTCCTCTCTTTCCACGTAATTAACATCCCTTCCGGGATTAACCATTTAAATTGGATTCCTTTTTTATTTAAATCATTAGCTAGAAATTTATAATCTTGTCTTATCATCCTCACTTTTTTTGGAATTTGTTTTAAAATCATAATTTCTCTGCCTTTATATGATATTGTTTCCTCCCTAGACATTTTCAAAATTAAATCCCTCAGACATCTCCTAGAGAAGCGGATATGGATTTCTCTTGGACAGTTGTTGCGTCTGGCGTAGCTTGTGCTAACCCTATATACCTCATCAAACTCTTTAATTAGATCATATTTTTCCTTTCCTAACCATTCAGCCAATATTTCTGCCATCAAATGTTCCAATTCTTCATTTTTTGCTTCAGCCACATTCTGGAACCTTAAATATGCCATTGCTTTGTCCATCTCAAGGTGGACCAGTGAGTCTTCCGTTTCTCTAAGTACATTTTTAAATTCCTCATCCATCCTTTCAAAGTTAGTCTCCATGTGTGTTATTCTACTCTCTATATCTTTTATTTTCACTTCGTTTTTCTCCATGGCCTGCTGTAGAGACCCTATCTTACCCTCCACCTTCGATATATCCGCTTTCATTTCAGCCTTCAGTTTCCCCATCTCATCTTTCAATTCGTTTATATCTGCTCTAGTTTCATTGTGATTTTTAATCATCATTTCTTGCATTTTAGATATAGCTTCCTGCGAGGATAATAGGGAAGTTTGTATATTAATGTTGGGGACATTAGGCTGCTTTTCCCCTGTTAAGGACTCCTCAATAGTTTTTTGAGTTGTTGGTGGGGTGGGTGTCAACGTAGTCGATAGGGTCGGGGTAGCCTTCCTTCCTGTTTTTAAGGCCATAGTTGTCGTGGATGTCATCTCTCTAAGTATTTGTTTTTGTTGATGCACAATTTTAGATATATTATCCCAAATCACCATTCAGTGTTTGGGTCTTGTATTTGAAAGTCTATTCGCGTATTTCAATTTAATATCTCACTCCACAGTCTTTTCCCCTATATCATAAATAGATATCTGCTACAGTATTCTAGTCTATGTAATAAGAAAATTGGTCAGCAATAGTACATCAATTAACACTTTAAGGAATTAATCTTAAATGTCTTAAGCAGTC